ACCGCCTTCCCCCCCCCCCGGCATCCATCGCTTCATTTCTCCTCGGATCCCCACTGCCTCTGTCCATACAGTCGGGGAGAGCAGCGGGGATCCAAAGGAAAGCTGCAGGCTGTGCCACCCCTCTGTGTGTGGCCGAGCAGCTCAGGATGGAGAGCAGAGGATCGGTAAATATCAGTGATATTTACCGATCCTTTGTGTTTGTAAACAACTGGGGACACATAGTCCTCACTTCTGGCATGCATGAGTTTCTGAATGGGTAGTAGCACTCAGTACAGAGGCTTCTACCCATTTATAACTGGATGAAAGGGATGATAGTAAATATTTTACTTTCACTGGTTTGTTCTAAATGAATGGAAAGCTCTCAGTGCAGAGGCATCCTATTCATTCACAGAGTCTGCAGAAAAAGATTGAGCATTCTGTGTCCTAAATTTCTTTTTCTATTTCTAACCCCAGATAAAAAACATTAAAATTAACAAATAAAAAAAAACAGATCTTGGAGGCGGGAGGCGGGGCACATGACGTCACACAGTGTTAGGTGACGTCACACAGTGTTAGGTGACGTCACATGCCTGTTGGAGGGAGCACAATTTTTAGTTATTGCCTCGGGCACAAATGGAGCTAACTATGGCTCTGGCGAGAAGTAACATTCCTCTTTAAACAGAACTGCCAAGTGCAGCCCAATAGAGGCAGTGCTCAGATAAGAAATTAAAGTAAACCATGGAAATTAACCTGGTGGCTGCTGTTGCTGACTGCTTCTAAAAATTCTAGTTGCCTGGCTGCAATACACGATCCCGCACAGTGCACTATTTACCTTTTTTATTGTTAGAAATTATTGAAATGTCACTGGTGCTGGAGCTGGAAAAAGCGTCCAGTGCCACTCCAACAAATTTGGTGTGAATTCAGTCTTAGAGACACTGATCCAGAACATGTATGCAGATCAAGAAAGTCAGATAAAAGTCAGAAGTCCTTATCTGCATACTTGCTAAAAATACTGAAGCAAGAAGGTGAATATATCATCAGGCAACCAGCCTGATGATACAGGTGAAACTCGAATAATTAGAATATTGTGCAAAAGTAATTGCTGCAAAAGGGGCCCAAACCAAGTACTGAGTACATATGCATGCTTGTACTTTTCAGAGGTCAGATATTGTTCTATGCACAATCCTTGTTTTATTGATTGCATGTAATATTCTACTTTTTTGAGATTGTGGATTTGGGGTTCTTGGGGTTTTCATGAGCTGTAAGCCATAATCATCACAATTATGACAAATCACGGCTTGAACTATCTTGCTTTGCATGCAATGAGTCTATCTCATATATTAGTTTCACCTTTTAAGTTGCATTAGTGAAATAAATGAACTTTGCACGATATTCTAATTATTCGAGTTTCACCTGTATATTCACCAGAGCATCTACATGGGCAAAGCACATTTTTAGAAGCAGGGTTCAGCAGTGGCAGCCTCTATGCTCATTTCCTGATTAGTGATGGGTTAGGGCGTGTTCGTAGCTCCACGTGCTGAGCCCGCCAGGAAGCTGATAGCGCCGCAGCGCCAATCACAGGCACTGAGGCATTATCCCGCTCCGCAGCTCCTGTGATTGGCGCTGCGGCCCTGTTCGCTTCCTGGCGGGCTCGACGTGTGGAGCTGCGAACACGCCCGAGCCCATCACTATTCCTGACAAGGCTCCTTTAAGAGGCCATCTACACCTGCACCTGATAAATAACGCTCAAAACTGTGTTGCATCAACCAGAAAATTGACCATGGATGGCCAGTCTATGAACAAATCAGCTTGTAATACTGCTGACAAAAATATAATAATCCTTCAGTTAAAAAAAAACAAAAACAAACGACTCATGACACAACAAGCATTTCTTTTCTTGACAAAGAACCCGTTAATAAACATTCTGTATGTTAATAAGATAAGTGTATTGGGAACAAACAGCCTTTCATTTAATGACACATGAATAAATGATTGGAAATAATCACAACATATACAGACAAATATTTGATGCTGTATGTACAATGAACATAATAAACAGAGATGAAAAGGCAGATAAAGACATTCTGTTAGCTAGGGAATCACTGGCAGTTAGTTAAAAGATTTTTTTTGTTTGCTTACCACTAACAATACGGTACCAAACTCGCCCATTCTCCCCCTCGTCTGCATCACTAGCTTCCAGCTGGAAGGATAAAATAAAAAAATTGTCCACAATTTAACTATGGCTTGAAAAGCAAGCAAAGATAATTAACCACAAAAACACAGATTTGAGATAAATGTATTTTTAAATAACACAATGAATGTTAAATGAAAATGCATCAAGTTGACCAAGAAGCAGTTAAGCCGGTAATATCTGATTATCAAATACATCCTGATATATCAAATACATGAGAGTGGAAATAGCCGCACTATATTGAGTTACGGTGTGAAAGTATATAATACTTGTAGGCAGCTCAAACAGGGGAATTATTTTATTGGTATGGTATTTAAAAGCGCAGAAAGTTTAGGAACATATATCAAATACATGCTAGTGGAAATATTCATGTTGCCATAGCAAAAGTTTTCAACTCTCATTTCAAGGACCATAAAAAGTCATGGTAGGGGCGCGGCTGACCAAGATGGACGCTCACTGATCAGCTCCGCGCCAGAACGGGAGAGGTGACAACCTATTTTGTCTATCACAGCCCTCGATCGAGACAATAACAGGTACCTAAGATCCGGGCTCCCCCCGCCGATTGATTGATACCATCATGTCCTGAACTAGGAGTCGGGGTGGTAAGCTGAGCCAGTCAACGCTCCACGAGGCTTTGGGCCGAGCGGCTCACAAGATGGCGCCGTCGCCGTCACAGAGGAACGAAGATTCCCATTCCTCTAGTGAACTTCCCGATCCCCTGGAGGACAGCTCGCAGACCAGCCAAGCGGACCCGGAGGTCACTCCTTCCCTGCTGGCCCAATTTGAAACCACCCTCCATAAGGCTTTGGATAAGGTATCCAAACAGATTACTTCACAGCTCATTAAGGAGATTAGGGATGTGGGCAGACGCACTACCACGCTTAAATCCCGCTGCAATGACATCACTACCAGCGTTGTTCCAGGAATTGGCCCCTGAAATGCCCATGGAGAGGTTGGAGTTCGACAGGATCCACAGGGCACTCTCACGACGCACACCAGAGGGCCCTCCCCGTGATATTATTGTTCGCCTCCACTTTTACCGCACTAAGGAACGACTACTCCAAGCAGCCAGAGAGGCCGGGATTTTACAATGGAGCACCTCTGCTCCAGGTGCTCCAAGCCAAGAAGATCAGGTACCGTTGGGGCTTCCCCTTTAAACTGCAATTCTTCTATGATGGCAGAACCTATACCTGCAACACTGTGGATGAAATGCGGGAATGCATGGACTCCTTGCATTTACTGGGACGTACAGATGAGGCCACAGAAGACTGTCCCCCCACACCTACACAACGCTCCGGGAGGCAGCGGCCCACTTGTCCCCCGGCCAACTTACCTGCACCACCTCCGACCTCTAGGATGGCGCCTGACTTTCCAAGGCCCGCTGATTCCTTTGGATGACTGCCACATCTGGATTTTTCATCTTTCACCAGTTGTTGAGCTTTGTTTCTCCATTTACAGATGTTGATGCGGCCCACGTCATCCTGTACTGGTGTGGGTCTCCACCTGTTTGACTGCCTATTGCGCACACCGCTCCATCGCCACCACACGGACTGGGACTATTACGGTTACTTCTATGGCAGATCCTGGTCTCCCCTGAATTTCTTGTCCCTGCGATCCTTTGCTGTTTTGTTGTTTAACTGTTGGACTCTTTTAGCGATGGCTTGCCCTAAAGGTCTTATAGCCTCCGTGTGGGTACCCTAATGCCTCACCAAGCCGTGGGCAGAAAGTTCATCCCATAATAGTTGCCTTGTTTATGTTTTATATACTTGGACCAAACATCACTTTTATCTCAAAGGTGACAAGCCGGATACCATGTTGGCGCATAGGCTCAGAGATGCCAACTCTAGACGTGACCCTGTTAGATTGATACTTCCTGGTGGACATGTGACAGCACATGTCTAGACACCTTTAGGCTGCACCTGAGTGAGCTGTACCGCTCCACAGGTCCTCTGGAGACTTCGAGCGTGGAAGCCTTTTTCTCCTCCCTAGATCTCCCCTCCCTCTCCGATGAAGACCGTAACTCGATTGATGCACCCATCACACTAAAGGAAGTTTTGAACTCTATCAAACTGCTTAGCACTGGGAAGAGGCCTGGCCCTGACGGTTTCGGTGCCGTCTATTACAAAAAGCTTGCGGATTTCCTTGCCCCACATCTAACTAGGTACTTTAACGCATTGCGAGAGGGCAGGCGGCTGAGAAAGGAATCACTGATGTCTTCCATCTGCATGATTCCTAAACCTGAAACTGATCACACTTCCTGGTCCAACTATCGCCCGATTTCACTGATCAATGTTGACCTTAAATTACTCACCAAAATTATGACACTACGATTACAGTCCCCTCTTTTAAAACTTATTTCCAAAGACCAAGTGGGGTTTATGCTGGGTAGACAAGCGTGGGATAGTGTTCGAAGAATAACCCACTTATTACATATCGCTCATCAGAGGAAGTTCCCAGCTATGCTGTTAGCACTTGATATTAGTAAGGCTTTTGACTCGGTTGGGGGTTCGGTCCCTCCTTTATGTACCTAATCGACTCATTATATTCTGAGTCCACAGCATATGTTCAATACCAGGGCTTCCATTCCCAAAAATTCGAAATCACTAGGGGAACCAGGCAGGGGTGCCCCCTTTCTCCCCTCTTGTTTGCCCTAGCCATAGAGCCCCTCGCCCAAGCGATAAGGCAGCACTTAGATATCAAGGGTATAGAGGTTGCAGGCTATCACCATAAACTTAGTCTGTTCGCGGACGATGCGCTTCTGATTCTTACTGATCCCTTGCACTCTCTCCCGAATCTCCAACCCCTACTACAACAATTTGGTACCCTTTCAGGCCTTTTTGTTAATTTGCGAAAATCCAAAGCACTTAATGTCTCTCTCTCCCCCCTCCCTTTGTTCCTCCCTACAACAATCATTTCCCTTCTCTTGGGTACCCACTGCACTGCCCACTTGGGAATATATCTCACCTCCTTCTATGACCAATTGTACGATGCAAACTACCCAAAATAGTTTTCACACCTTGAATCCTTACTGTCCTCTTGGGAAAAACATTCCATATCGTGGCTCAGAAGGATCACAGCCGTTAAAATGACCCTGCTTCCCAAATTTCCTTCCGATCTCGATCCCCACTTATCGACACAGGCTACTCCAACGCCGCATCTTACGGTTTATTTGGAAGGGTTCCTTCCTTAGAGTCTCACATTCAGTCCTTTAACGTGTCAAACAGGAGGGGGGTTTGGGACTTCCCTTTTTTCAGAAATACTATCAGGTGGCTCAACTGACTCCTCTGGTGCTCTGGTTTGGGAAATCAGAAATGCCCCTATGGGTCTCTCTGGAGGCTTACTCATGCTCCCCGATATCTCTCCTCAACCTCCCTTGGTTACCCCCACAAAAAGTGGGAATCTTCCTAATCCGATTCTCAAACACACTCTGAAAGTTTGGTATGGCCTCCGACTTTCATTGGGATGGATGTCCTCTCACACTCCCCTGATGTCTATTCATGGCAACCCACTCTTCCAACCAGGCTTCTCGAACCCGGCTGCGTTTAAATTATGGCTCTCCAACTCCCTGAACCTAGTTAGGAACTTCTGTTCAGACGCGGGTGTGGTGCCTTTCCCAATACTTCAATCTACACACAATTTGAATGCTAAACAAACTTTCCAATATTTGCAGATTAAAATTTTTTTGCTGACTCGATTGGGACCCGTACGCCCCATTCCCCCACTTTCCCCTTTCGAGAGACTACTACACCTTGGGATGCATGGCTCAGGGACTATATCTACCCTTTACAACCTCCTGTTGGACAAACTGCATGCCTCCCCTCTCCCTTACATCTCCAGGTGGGGACGGGACCTAGGGTGTACCATTGCCCCTGACATTTGGACACAAATTTGGACGACGACCTCCCACAGCTCAATGAATGTTCAAGCTCTGGAGGCTAAATACAAACTGCTCCTTAGGTGGTACTTGGTTCCGCTGCAGATCTCCAAAGCTATCCCATCTCAATCCCCAAACTGTTTCAGGGGTTGCCGGGTGGAGGGTTCGGTCATTCACATTTGGTGGTCCTGTCCTAAGGTGAGGAGATTCTGGCATAGAGTCTACCAACTTCTATACACAGTTACTGGCCAGACGTTCCGCAAGGACCCATTGGAAGCTCTGCTGCTCAAGAAATCATTGGGGTGCACAATACGTCAGCACCGACTAATCACCTTCATCCTCACAGAGGCCAAACGGGTCATTGCGAGAAATTGGAAGACCCCGGACCTCCCCTTTGCTGAAGTCAAGCACAGAGTTACGCGGGTGATGTTTTTTGAAAAGCTTACTGCTATTCAAAGGGACACTCTGGTGCCGTTCAGGAAGCTGTGGAAACCGTGGATTGAGTCGTACTTGCCTCCCTCCTTCAATGTTGATTCTTTGACAATCTGAGACCCTGAATCTGCAGTCGATGGACAGCTATCTTGACTCCTCCACTCAAGGGTAATCTTTTCCTCCCTCTTCCCCCCCTCTACTGTCCTCTCTCCTCTCTCCACCCCCCCTACTTCACCCTCTTCTAGCTCCATCCTTCCCCATGTTGTTTCTTCCCCCTCAGAACCAGATAACTCAGGCCCCCCTCTCTCTGTAACCTTGACTGGAAGTCTGAGCTGATATGATGTATCAATGCACCATAATACTATTGTTTAGTACTTCTCCCGGACTACTTTGATGCTTACAACATAACCTTATTATGTATGTTCCGTTTATGATTCATTATACTTGACAAGTGACGTGTTTTAATGTACTTGTAATCTGTTTACATGAAAAGTAAAGAAATAAAAATCTTTTGAACGAGAAAAAAGTCATGGTAAATGTCTACTTCATATTTGCTCTTCTGCTGGGTTTTGGGTTAAGGTTTTGTTATTGTGTGCTGTCTCAGTCCATCTAGGCTCTGTGTGGTTGTGCACTTTCTCTATCTTGTGGTTGGCAGCCACTTACACAGGTCATGCAGTCCAAGATAGCAGGCAAGTACAGCTAA